CATATTGCAGCAATCACTCGTTTTATAGGATTACGGAAATGAAAAAAAAATTACGTAAGAGAATTGAAAAAATGCTCTATTATGAATTATAACAAAAGGGCAAACGATTTGTTTACACCTTAGTAAAAAGTAACTATTTATTTTGTGTAAGTATTTTTTTTTTTATTTAATCGTAAATTATACCATGACAAAGACATCGCCACCTTGAAAATCAAGCAGCTTGAACTTAAGCATATTGATTGCTAGATTATTTTAATCGAATAGATATCATTGTCTATGGTGATATCTCCATATTGAGGATATCTCCTAAACATTAATATGAAAGTAAAGGCAACAATTGGTGGCATGAAAACCTTATGTTGCTACGCATTATATGTTATATATAGATATATTGTGATATTGGAATAAAACATCACGCAACCGTAAGTTAGTAACATCCTTACGAATAGTTAGTTGTCTGTGCTGCACACAATGGAAGGACTTTCTCACGAACAATGACTTTTGGAAAAGCAACGAAAATGTTGAAAATCCAAGTTCCTTTCGATACAAAAGGAAAGCAGTTTTCACAAAAAAAAACTTGAGTTTCAGAGAACGGTGTAAACTTTCAATATAATTATGTTGAAAGTTAAAGTAATTATAATAATAACATTTAAATAAATAAAGTAATGACAGATGTACGCTCATAATAAGTTCCTATAAATTCGGTAAGGGATCTTCTTAAAAGTTCCTTAAACGATATCAAAATATTTATATTCGATAATAATAAAACAAAAGTTGATCCGGCTGTTAATTACCAAAGTTTAAACCAAATCTACATACAAAATTAATACAGCCTCATGTATAAAGTGAACCCAAAGTAAAGCAAAATATTTAATGAGGTGATATTATATCTTAGAGTTACGAAAAAAATCATACAAGCCAAGGTCCAATTTCGCCTAAAAGCAGGAAATACAAGTTTTCTGTTTTTTTTTATTTATGGTAATTAGAAATTGCATCATAGTTAACTAGATAAAATTGTCTTCAAACGTAAGTAGTTTGTTAAAACTAAATTTCAAGAGAGTTTTTTAAGGTTCGTATATAGCTGAGATATCACAGCAACTTTTCATCAAAATCGGCTAACCGGAAATGCTACTTTATATTTTATACATTTTTTTTCAATTTCCTCGAAAACGGTTATCCGATTTTGATTAAATTAATTACATCAATGTAAAATTAAACAGTTTTTAATATCATGTAGATCTTATTCTCAATGATGTCTAATAGGGCTTAAATGCCTAATTTTAATATTTTATTCTTTGCAATTTGAATGATTTATGTGATTTTGAAGACAATTGGGTTGTTACATAATTGAATGTTTTCTATTAGCTTGAGGGCAGAGTAGGAATCACTAACAATCGAAATATGGTTATTGTCGAATTCCTTGATTATTATACCTAAAGTTAAATAGATGACAAAGAGCAGGGAGGGTAGGATTGAATAAATAGGAGGTAGAGAGTAGCGGATGGTCTCCCTAGGTAGAACAACGGAACATCCAACATGTTCTGATCTTTTCGACTCACGCATGGTCACCTACACGACGGTAGTTCACCACCAAGATGTCGCAGCTGCAATACAGCTTTGACAGCGGTACACATCTTGGAAAATTGTCCGAGCTTGGATTCATCAAGTACCTCGTATTGGCTGCTAGGATATCGACAAGCCCTACAACCTGAAAATCAGAAGCACTTCAATTTCTGAAAAAAAACACAATTACTACAGACAATACCGTGTTCATAAACGAACTTACAACGCAAATCAGAAATAACCTATATAGTTGTAACAACACGTTCTTTAAAATAAATAAAATTGTATTTCTCTAAAGTACCTTTGATTTTTTTCATTAGAAATTATTAACCATTCGACTGGTAAGTAAAGGAGAAATAACGGTTAGAATTTATACGGAAAGAGCCGACTTTTGCCGATCTTTCCTCCGATACGCCTCTGCACTGGGCTTGTTAATTCAACTTTTATGTATCACTTAGCCATAATTTTTTTTTAAATGTTTAAATGCGAAATGTTGAGGATCAGCTAATATACAATATTTATTAAAATGAAGTTTTTTTTTGACGATTTTCGTGATAAATGTTTCTGATAAAATTCAGATTTTTTATCTATTTCTTCCGCAATCATTATTATTATTTGATACTATACACAGTCGTAAAGGTAAATGTAAAGGGAACAAAAGTATACATTTAACAGATAATATATGTGTGAAAATACGTGTTAATTAATTGTTTTAATTGAAGTTATACTGTCGCTTCTACTTTGACTTTTCTCTATATGGAAATATCTATCTACATTGCACTCGATTTTTTTATTTACATACTTTTATTATTACTGCCGAGTATTTTCTTAATATTTATACTGTAGGTTATCTTGCCTTAGCTTAGCTTCGATGAAAGCCTGAAACTCTGGCAATAAACGTCGGCAAAAATGAAATAAAATAAATATAAATTATTTATTTTTAATTTGCATTCTATTGATTGAAAACGCCAACCAACTTCAATCTTTTCTTTTTTAATGATCCTAATTTATATATAAAAAATAGACAAGGCAGCTTGGGGTGGCCTACCACTTTCACCCTTGGCTCTTGCGCAACCCCCGACAGCCCCTACACTGGACACGGTCTTACCCCACAGCAAATGGTCGAGGCGACCTTCGCACACCGTGGATAACTGGAAGATATAGGCCGACACTACCAATGACCCAATTTGTAGCGGCCTAGCCTACATACTGCACATGCACCCCTTGTCGAGCTGCCTTTGTGGGTATGCCATGTTAGGAGTGCCCGACCATAGGCATACGACTATTTATCACTAACAAAAGAAGAATGTAAAGCGACATTGAGACTATATTGTAAAAAACAGTACACTACCAACAGACAATAAATTCATAATTTCAATAAATAGAAATAGAATTTCAATAAAAGTCTCTACTCATCCGGAATAAAAAGAAGACAAAATAATTGTTAGAAACACTTTTGGTAAAGATTTGGTACATATCATTCTTAAAAGAGGATGCCTTATAACAAATATGGTTACAGGAGAACGAAGGAAGGTGGAAGAGTCAATCCTTGAAGCGTGTAAAGGGCAGACTATAAATGACCGACGCAGGAAGAAATTCTCAAGTTAATCAGGCGCGAATTCTTCAAAGATCTTTAAGGGCTGAAAAATATACAATAGAGGCCAGTAATATAATTATGAATTTTAAAAATAACAAGTAATTTATTTATTTGTATTAACAACAATGCGACTGTTTAATCACTTTGGGTCATTTTAGTTTTTACATAATATATAAAATTACAAAAAAAAATTAATATTTGCAATTTTACGGCTATATAAGAAATAAATAAAGAAAAATTCTTCAATTTTATAATTGCAGTTCTAATTAGTTTAAGAACCTTGTTTCCTCGACGTTAGTACGTCCTGATTCTCAAACTTTCATCTAGAACTGCTGTCGCCAATAAAATCTTACTCGAAGGTAGAAACGACAATGGCCCCAAGATCTTTTATAAGTAAGTTATTGGGGTTATAGCAACGGCTTTAGTGTCCTTTCTAAAACTCTCTTACTGGAGTGGTGAGTTGGCTAAAAGAGAAGCGTTGTGATCTCTTAGAGTCTTAGCTTACCTTGTCTTCCATACGAGGAGGAAAGCGTCAGGTTCGAAACTCCTTCGGATGACTGTAAATATTGTAGTTAAGTGCGAATGAGATTTTATGAATTTAAAACTTTTTTTAAATATTATTTCAAGATCCGTTTGCTTTTATGTTATTATTACAGTCGTATTGTATGAATGAGTCTCACATATCTCTAATATTTTCTGCCCTTAAGAGTGGCAAAATACAATAAAATCTAAAACAATTAAATTTGCTTCTATATGGTTTGTTCTATTTCGTGTGAAAATATGGAGTAAAGTTAAAACTATAATACTTTTTGGGAATTCTGAAAATTAATCGAAGACTCCAATTCTTGGATAGTATTCCAAAAATTTATGGGCAAGGTGGGGGAAAAATCGATCCTTGGGAAACATTTTTATCTCAGAACATTTATTTTTAGATTGCTATGAAAATTCGAATTTAATGGTTTTTCGAGGTGCGGAATACGAATCTCAACTTTATTTATCATTAAACAAATAGTCGAACCAGTTTTGTTCCTTCAGTTGGACTAAATGATTTCAATATTGTACTCATAGTATTACTTTATGCCAAATCAAAATCGTTGTCCAGATTCAGTCCAAAAATTAAAATAAAGCAAGTAATTCAGGTACCATACACGATATAGACATCCGGGGTAGCTCAGTGGGTATAGAACTGACTACCTAAGCTCAATGTCCGAGTTGGAATCCAGCTGATGACAGGTAATTATTTATTCTGATTCATCAGCCTAAGATCGACTCTGGGAATGGGGGACCCTACTGGGGCACACACAGCCTCTAAAAAGTGGGAACTCTCAACTAAATAATTAATTATGAAAGATTATTAATTATTTTGGCCCAATAATCTCCTGCACAACTAATGACCTTGAAATAGTACACCTTTAATAAATAATATACCCAAGAACCTTCATGGGTATAGTAGGGATCAAATATTTTTTAGGGATAAACAAAGCTGATATTAGTTATATCCGCTTAGAAAAAATCTTAAATAAGATTTTTTTCTGCAATCACGTTTTTTTTTTTAAAATATTTGGTCTTCTATTTAATGGGATACAGATGGATATATTTTGTATAATATCTAATTTACATGCTTTATTTCAATTTTTAAACTGGAGTATAATTTTACGGAAAGACATTCTGATTTTCAGGATCACTCCAAAGAGGAAACAAGTACTTCATAAATGAAAACAATTTTTTTTTCTAAATGAAAATTATTTTCTTTAATTGCTTTTCCGATATCTTCCGAGCCGTCGATGATTGATTTTCTTGCTAGAATCAATTTCGATTGAAGATATCTGTGTCAATATTGCTAGAAAGGGGGCAGGAGAGGCAGGCAGGGGGAGCAAACTGGGGCGGTCGTGTGACAATATGTATTGTACTGCCCAAGGGCGACCTGCAAGCGGCTCTTTCTCAACCGCCGTGTTTTTTTTAACCGATATTTTTCCTTTTTTTTCTCCCTGTCAAATCGCTGACAACTATTTACCAAGACTGGGCCAAGTGTGTGACCACATAGCCTTTGCGTGCCTTCCTACGTTTTATGGTACAATCCTGGAATCCGCATTTTGCGTTGGACAATCTAAATGTCAGCTGAAGAGAAAGATGAAACAAATTCGGAATAGGATATATAGTTTAATATTTTTTCTATAGGCATTATGAAATGGTAAGTATTTAATTAGGAGGAAATAAGGGTACCAAACATTATTTGAAGATGCTAAAATAATTCAAGGCATTCTTTCTAAAATAAAGGACCGAAACTACAATATTATATTAATGCAGAACTAAAACTTCACAACTTACTTCAACTGTGAAATTATCAGAGCTGTGACACATTCTGAGTAGAATAATCACCACCAATCCGATTGATCACGAACTATACCTAACTGTTTAAGATCTCCCAGAAACTGTTTTGTTTACTTATGTTATTTTATTTTCATATGTTTTCTATATATCTATGTTTTTATTCTCTCATTCTTGTTGTATTTTTATTTTTATTTTGATATTATTTTGTAAATATTTAATTTAATGTTTCACGAATTCAGGCATCATCGGAACAGAAAAAAATAAGATCATATATATGAAAAAAAGACAAATTTACCAGGCATATTTCACCTAAATACATACTAAAGGAATGATTTTTTTCTTCTCTAATTTTTTTTATATACCGACTACTAAACAGGAAATCTAAACTTTCCATTGAAAACAAGCTACTGATCCACAAGAAAATACTGAAACCTATTTGGACTTACGGACTAGAACTGTGGGGAACAGCAAAATTTTCTATCATCAACCGCATCCAATCCTTCCAGTCAAAAGTCCTTCGAACAATAGTAGATGCTCCTTTCTATGTAACCAACAAAATCTTACATCATGACCTCAACATTCATTTGTTCTAGACCATATCCCAGAAAAATTCTCCAAATTTCACCAGACTCTTACGTATCATCCAAATCCTCTTGCACAATCTCTATCAAGAACCACCCATCCCTATAATTCTCCAAGAAGGTTGAAACGACAGTGTTCTCGCGACCTTTTGTAGAATTATATATATTATTGGCGTTCTGGCAATTGCCAGATTCTCCACTCAGGACATGAGTGTATGTGGCTAAAGTCCTCTTGATCAATCTCCGCTGGCTTTAGTACCAGTGATGGGGTTGAGAGAGTAGCGCAGGGTTCTCCTGGAGTTCCCTCGCCTGATTGTTTATAGGTATACCTGTGTTTTTTGCTTAGTTTTAATTTTCTTATTTTTTAGGTTATTTTATTTTATTATTTATTGTATATACTTTTGATTATTATTTTGCTTCTATTTATTTTATATTTTTTGTGAATGTTATATTACCTCACTATAACTAATGTCCAAGAGACAAATTGTTGTAATACTCAATAAATAAATTTAAAAAAATTTTTTTTTTTTTTTTTATGTGATCTTGTTTCTTTTGTCCTGATCTTGCCTGAATTGGCAGAACGTTGACAATTTAACTGTTCACTTGTACGCTAGAGATTCAAGGCTTTATAGTTTGAATTTTTTCTCTTTATATCCTAATTACTTTATGTCTCTTTTGAAGCTATATATTTATTTATAGTCATTTATTCCTAATAATGACTGATTAAGTAAAATGATGATTATTTAGCAATAAACTATTTTGTTAAGAGAGTTGAAGATTTGGAATCTTTCAATAAGAATAAGAAGTATAAAAATAATGGTGTGAGTTCATCATATTGAAATTAAAACCATAATTTAATTAATTAATTGAAATTCCTGTTGTTTGAATTAATTAATTTAATTGCTTCGTTTCAAAACATTTCCAAAATAGAAAAATGATCACATATACTCACAAGTAATAAATTACTCTAATATAAATGATATGTATTACAACTGAAACGTACAGAGAAAAAGATAAATATTAGAAAAGTTATAATTAACAGAAGACCTAATTCCCAGATCCAACTAATTGCAAAAATAATTAGTTATCAGAAACAAACACCATATTTTCCTTATCGAAATCTAAAATTCTTATTGTAATAAATCAGGTTCTTCAAAGATAAAACAATTAAAAAATGTATCGATTTGACGTAAGGTTCAAGGAAATAATGAAATAAAAAAACAGTGAATCATTACATTGTGCACAGGATGTGAAAATATAGATTGCATCAGCCACAAATGAGTGTAAGGATTGTTTATTTAATATCATGTATTGATTTTTTTAAATTCTGAATAGAGTTGCAGTATAATTATAAGATATTAAAAACATTGTACCTACTGTTATTTTATTTCATTTAAAATAAAAAATAAAATTTACAATTACAAAAAAACAACAATAAATATATTTTTATTTGCCCTCATTATATCAAATCCCATAGAAATTTTCCTGATTGTATAGTATAATGAAACGATGAATATTCATGTATCAAACACGCCGTTGCGAATATTTATCATTATCCGTGTCAATGTACCTAGAAAATTGCAGACTTCATCATGGCCACGTTAATTCATTCATAATAATCCTTCTCGACTATATTAAAAGTTGAAAAGTTTAATATTAAAAATTGTATATATAAGAGATGGATATATGATATTCTTTACAATACCGTTAACGAGGTTAATAACAGTTTAAAATCTGAAAAAAATCAGAGACATCTTGAATTTAACTCATTATAGAAATAAGAAGAAATCATAAATATATTAATTTTTACACAATTATCGATGGATTGTGGTTTTCAGTTTTGGTTTAGTTACTACTGTAATTAAAAACATATGGAACTAAACATTTAATGTAACATATAATAGATTTTTTTCGTTTCTGTTTTAAGATACAGTACACAGACCCATGCCCTTAGTTGGAAATGCAAGACCTTACAAACTTGGTCTTCCACCTCCTTGCTACATACCATCAACCTAAGAAAGGATTTCTTTCCTAACTAAAGAACTTCAAAGTCCTACATCTGGAATACAAAGGTATTGTTTTTCAAACACTACGACTTGCTAAAAAAACAATATATGATAAATAAAACAATTGTAATTAGAACCTTTTATTAAGTTATTCATCCTCTAATAATATGGAATATTATTCTTTTTAAATAATTAAATGACCAAAAAAAAAACCCCACAAAAAATAACAGTTTTTTAACAATTACAGTTATTATATTTCTCGTTTTCTTTTTGTTTCTTTATTCACTTAACAATGAGGCATTCGGTTCAATTTATTCAGCCAAGAGACCTGCTGATCTGATTTATTCTGATTTATTAGTCTTTAAAAAAAAGATAGGTAAATTTTTCTTTTACTAAATTAAAAAAATGCCAATTAACACATTATTTATTTAGGTTTTGTTTTTAATTAAATTAGTATAAATGTTTTCTGTGAGAACATTTGCAATTTAATACGAATTTTAAAAGATAAGCTTTTATATTCTGTATTTTAAAATATATCTCATTTAATTTCTAGTAGCCATATTACATTTTAAGCCTAAGAGAAGTAACTTCACATTATTTACTTTAAATAATATATATTAAATATATGTTTGGTTGGGGAACGTTCATATTGTTTTCTATCATAACTAAAATAACAAGAAACAAATGATTATGTTAAAAATAAATAGCTCCCAAGCGAATCGGTTATTTTAATAATATTATTTACATAACAATTATAATCTCTATTTATTTTTAATTAAATAATCACAAAAGTTTACTTAAACTATTAACGATACACGAAGGATTGTACTCAAAACTCCTTAACTACTTAACCTACCCACCTTTAAACCCCTCCTATTCAACCAATCCCTATCTATCCAATTCCTAAACCATTGTAAATAGTTTTTTCTGTAAATATGTATATAAATTATTAGTTTGTTTTTAGTTATCATTTTTGTTCTTAATTCATCTATGTTGACTTATATGTTTATTTTATATCCATTTGTGTAAAACTTATTTTATTTTTATAATGGTGCTCTAACGTACACAATTGTATTATTCTAATGGGACTTGTCCCAAAATAAATAAGGCATATTATTATTATTATTACTCAATTAGTAAAAACGAAGTTAAAATTTCTTTTGATCATTTTGTTTGTCTGCCTGCTTAAAAAAAAAAACTTACATATTACTTCCTCAATAAAGTAAATTACTCTCTATACATACGTACATTTTTTTTTATCCTCTCTGTTCTATACTGTAAGCTATTGGTGAATTTCACGATCTGGTAAAACCGATTTTAGAAAGAAATAACAAAATATAAAACTCAATGCTTAGCATGATTTTAAAATTATTGCTTACTAACAGCCTTGAACGAAAAATACAATTAAACAAATTTTGGAGTCGCAAATCATTTTTTCAATATATCCATGTAGTTTTTTTAATGTTGACATTGATACATATTTTAAAAATTATTTCAGACAATTTATTATGCACCATGGCACTTAGTTAATTAGACAACTTAGCAGTTACTTAGACAACTTAGCAGCGATGAAAAGAGACAATGTGCTTACATATGGGCCAGCATAAAGTGGTCCAGCGGCAGTGTTGCGGCCGCGTTGCTAGGAGACGAAGACATCCTCCGCCGCAGAGCTTTCTGCCGCTCCCTGCTCGGGAAGCTGGCCGCCTTCCTGGCGCTCCGGTCCTCCGGCATCCTCTATATTTAATTAATTCATGTTTTCTTAATCTAATTATTTAATTAATATACTTACAGAAGTATTAATTAAAACGGAATGCAGTCATGAGAATGTTTCGTTATGCAATTAAAGATCGGTGCGTTGGAAAGTATCGCAGTGGTTAACATTTATCATCAATTGTTTTAAACATGTATCTTAAGTTTTATGTGTACCTCATACAAACAATTTTTTTTTCTTAATGATATTTACAACTGTATTAAAGAAATAGATTAAGTAAATTTGAACATACGGATATAATGACGTGAAAACACTTGCTGAGTAACTACCCAACGGTAGCACTTCAATGATATGTCTACATTAGGAGATCACGGAGCCATCTTATTTTCAGACGCCCCGGAGGGTTATCAGGAATTGAAGAGGGAGCAAGGTTAGAAACCAGAGAGTTGGGATAATTATGAAGATTATAATGGAAGGATAGGTATCTGGATTGGGCCAGATCTGAAAAATATGAAACATTAAGGTCATTATGGATTATTTTATTGGTGACAAAGTAAGGAGCATTGAGGATTTTCCGAAGGATTTTGGATTGTAAGGATTGGATACGAGAGGAATTCGATGGCTTAGTGGAGCCCCAAAGCTCAACTCCGTAAGTCCAAATAGGTCTTATTGTAGTCATGTATATAAGTATTTTGTAATTTACTGGAAGCTTAGAGCGTTTGTCTAGTAAGTGTTGGAGTAGTCGGAAACATCGAGCGGTTCCTTGTCGTTTCAGTCTGGTATGAGCATACAAATGATTGAATGAGAAAAAGGTTTTCTGAATACAGAACAATATCGATAATCCGAATCTCTAGTAATCCGAAGTAGAAAAAAAAGAGGAGGGAAGGAATGAAAATGGCTCGATTCTTCAGTACCTATTGCTCGTTGCTCATTCTAAACGCTTAGTTGAGGGATCACGTTATATGTTGTATGTAAAGAGTCGAATGATCAATTATATGGATGAAACAAAATTTTCGGTCAAGATAATTTTATTAGGTTAGCCGACGTTACGACATAAACATGAGGGTAATACTGAGGACTATCGTTTGGAAGTATTGTCTCGTCTTCCAAACGATAGCCATGAGGATCCTCATGTTTGGGTCGAAACGTCGGCTAATATAGTAAAATATCTAATATTTTTTTATATAATAAAAAGAAATGTAAGTTATATTTATTTGCCTTTGCTTTGCTTGGATTTTTATTTATTGACTAATCAATTTTTTATATTGAATAAGATAAAACATTAGGCACAAGATAAATGTACCGTTAATAAGACACTCTAATAGAAATTTTAGACATTTATGTGATCAACAGTTTTAGTTCTGACAGTGAATATTTGCATATTAGTTCAAGTGACAGCAAGTTTTTTATCGATTTCTTTTTCTTTTCAAACAATTAGTTAATTATTCATTGCAAACTCAGGACATTCTGATAGCATACATCGAGGCACTAATAATATACAATTCCTGTCCACCAGTACTCTTTAATTCCATCCAGCTTCCTTACTCAGACACAGTCCGGTATCTTGGCTTTCATTTAGACCGAAGACTAACTTGGAACCCCCATACTAGACTCAAAAGACATGAACACAACCGATGATACGGCCAACTATACCGAGTACTAAGCAGAAAATCTAAACTTTCCATTGAAAACAAGCTACTGATCTACAAGACAATACTGAAACCTATTTGGACTTACGGACTAGAACTGTGGGGATCAGCAAAATTTTCTAACATCAAGCGCATCCAATCTTTCCAGTCTAAAGTCCTTAGAACAATAGTCGATGCTCCTTTCTATGTAACCAACAAAACTCTACATCATGACCTCAACATCCCATTTGTCCTAGACCTTATCCCAGAAAAATTCTCCAAATTTCACCAGAACCTTACTTACCACCCAAATCCTCTTGCACAATCCCTATCAAGCACCTCCCATCCCTATAATCCTCCAAAAAGGTTGAAACGGCAGTGGCCTCGCGACCTTTTGTAGATTGTATAAATTGGAGTTCTGGCAATGGTCAGATTGTTCACTCAAGACATGAGTATATGTGGTTAAAGTGCTGTCGACCAATCTCCGCTGGCTTTAGTACCAGTGACGCGGTTAGGAGAGTAGCGCAGGGTTCTAATGGAGTTCCCTCGCCTGATTGTATATAGGTATGCATGTGTTTTTTTTTAATTTTCTTAGTTTTAATTTTCTTATTTTTTAGGTTATTTTGTTTTATTGTCTATTGTATATAATTTTGATTATTATTTTGTTCTATTTATTTTATTTTTTTGTACATATAGTGTGAATGTCATCCTACCTCACTATAACCAATGTCCAACAGACAGATTGTTATAATAATCAATAAAGAAATAAAAAAAAAATAATATACAGTCAACTTTTGGGGTCAATGGGATTTTTATATAATTAAATAAATCAAAAATAAATTCTGCCCAGTTTTAAACTGGGAAATGGTAAACTACGGATGAATGAATCAAAATTTCAAACATATATCCAAAAGAAAAGTGATAAGGAAACTATTCTGAAATAAATACCTAGTCTTGTGCATTAAAAAATCTACTATAAATCAGCTATTGTAGCATATAACTTGAGGTTCAGGCATCAACTCAGGATGTTTTAATTGCAAATAAACTGATATTTGCACTTTCTTTTTAAAATATTTTTATACTGGAAAGAATCTTATTCACAAAAAGGGCACATGGATAGGTTGTAATAACTATCAAGGAATCTCAAACCTTCAGGTATTGCATAAAATATTCACATATTATGGCTGAATGGAATTATTCCTGACTACCAACGAAGATTTCAACGGAACCGTTTCACAATTGATCAAATATTTTTTTCTATATTAGAGAAGAAAATAGAGTAAATGTCTGGCCAGAACCTATATAATCTTTTAATCATCAGGGGATTTAAAAAAAAAAAATACCAAGTCTAGTAAGGGTGTGTATAACGAAAACATTTAATAAAGTTTAAATCGACAATTATTTATCCCAAATATTCGAAGTACATTCGGGTTTCAAACAAGGAAATATCCTGTTTTTAAAACAGGATAATTTTAACTGTATTTTAACAAATTAATTGAGGAAGTATGTCAAAGAATCGTATTAATTGATAAAGAATCCAAAAGATATGGTTTAAAATTGCGTGAGCACTTGAGTCATTACCATTTCGCAACTATTTATTAAATGTAATTAATTTTAATGACCGAAGAATTATATGAAAATAAATTTTGCCATAAATTAAATTAAATTTTAAAATCAAGCATTGTTATTATTTTACTGTTTTTTTCAAGGTGGAAAGAAGAGGATGGCATAATCCACCGCATCATTTCGGAAAAAATAAAAAATAATATTGCATTGAATTATTATTAGTACTTCTAAATAATTACAGGAGAAGTACAGCAGAGAACTGAGATTCTTGGAGTATGTGCCTTTGCGTCAGGAGTTATGACTCTCGTTACGTGTAGCTGCTCCAATTGGACGAGGAGGCATTGTCCATTTTCACAGCTGACACCACACGCACGTAACTTCCTACCTTATTATGGCCTTTACCCCCTTCTATTAGCGGGACAGAGGAGGGAATTACCACTCCGTCAGCGGGAAGCAGAGGGTAATGAAATTCCTTCAGGAAGTCGCTCTATTGAAGGTTCTACGGAGGACGTTGCCAACATTTAAACTATCAATAAAAGCCATTAAAAGGAAGAGAAGATCTGAATTTCAAAATATAGGAATAACGAAAAATGTTCATTGGAATGTAAAGATAGATTCCAGATTAAGGTTGAGTAATATATGCTAATGAAAACCTTATTTATTCTGTTTCGTTATTTCTGAGGCTGGGGTTAGGAGACCCTAAATTAAATAATTAATCAAGAGGAGAAATCTGGTGTTTGGGCGTGATTTCAGTCTCATCACTTCCTTCCACAATAAGCGTTGACTAAGAAACAGTTAGTAAAACAGAATGAGTCCGGAGGAATGGGCCGAAAACATTGGGCAGGATCAATCAGTGGATTTCACATAGAAAAATAATTATAAAAAAACTTACATGTTCTTATCCCATTTTAATTAAATTAAATGAAAATCGGATAAGAAACTATAACTTTTTTTCTTGAAGTTTGGCCCTCTCGACTCAGTCCGTATAGACCATCGAAATGATAAACTAAACGATGGAATACATCATTAGGTAGATTGTGTATCTTGCTAGGAATGGTAAGTGGAAAAACTAGCAGGATATAAAAACGTCTTGGGTCCGGCACGGCTGGTGAACATGGCACGAAGTTTCTCCGCTGTTGAAAGGCGTAGAGAGAAAGCCTAAAATAAGTATATTCCTAACTGGGGATCTTGAGGAAAATGTGATATTTAATTTCATATACTAGATTCAAACCATTTTCCAAAATTCAAAGCACATATTTCCTAATCCCCTTTTGGAGTAGGGTAACTCAGAGTCACTGCGATCTAAGAAACTAGAGACAAGTTCGGGTCTGCTATATATGTTTTCAGTACACCAATATAGCACTATGAACCACAAGCTCTATGAAACGGAATATAAATTAAAAAAAAAACAAGCGTTTTATCATAGATGTTGACTTCCTAATATAATCGTTCGTTAAGGGTAGTTCAAATGCACAAGCGTAATTAAAGGAGATTATTAATTACCGAAATTCAGTATTACCAAAATATTTAAATGTTATATAAGAATAACGTGTCTTTGATATACAGAGCGACTTTAAAATCTTTATATATATATATTATTTATTGACCGAATCTCCGTCCATTAGCATTTTTTTGCTAGCTTCGAATTCAGTCAAACCGCGACAGAAATTCGATTAATGAAGGGAACATTATTTTGAGATTAATTTTATTTTGCACGAAATTTCACGTTCGGGGATCCCTGCAGGAATTTCCTCCTTTTAATGATTTTCTGCTCGATAGTGTATTTTTCTTCATTTTCATACTTAAAACTATAAAACGAAGTTTTA